TTGGCTTCCTCCATCACTGGAGCAAGCAAGCCTCCTGCTCCCTTCAGCTGCGTGGCTGCCGGCCGCCATCTTTGTTGGCGGCTAATTTGCATATCTCGCTGATTAGCCAATGGGAAGCATAGTGAAGGTACAGTCAATTACCCTTTTTGTCTTTTATTAGATAGGATATTGTGCTTATTAAAGAGTCAGATAATAGAGAAAGGTAAAATAGATGAAAGACAATCAATGAAAACAAAAGTCACCTGTCCTGTACTTGTACAACTCAAGAGATAATTTCTTTCATTATAACAATTACCCTTTTTGTCTTTTATTAGATAGGATATTGTGCTTATTAAAGAGTCAGATAATAGAGAAAGGTAAAATAGATGAAAGACAATCAATGAAAACAAAAGTCACCTGTCCTGTACTTGTACAACTCAAGAGATAATTTCTACTTTCATTATAATGAGGGAGGCAGCGGAGTATAGTGGTGAGGAGCTCATACCCTGGACACACACAACTGGAGTTCAAATACCACTTTTACAATCTGGACAAGTGCCTTAACCTCCCTAAGATGCAGTTTATTCAATTATATAGAGTTATTGTAATTCTACCTCATGAGATTGGAAAAACCAATGAGGTAGTGCAAGTACAATAGACTGAAGCTAGTGCCTGACATATCTTAGTACCTAATAAACATCAGATATTATTATTGCTATTTTTCCCCTGTGACTTTTTAATTTTAACAGTCCATTCCCTAAATTTACCTAAAAACTTGTAATTTATCTGAAAAAAAATCCCTATTGATGACACTGGTGTTTTTTTTAATAATTATAAACAGTATTATCAGTATCCTTGCATAGATATCCTTGCACATCTATTTTCTTATGATAAATTCCTGGTCAAGATATATATATATATATATATATGACATTCTGATAAATATTACTAACTCCTAAAGGAATGTACCAAGCCTATATAATAAAAGGATAATATGCAAATAGACTGAACGGCGGAATGACCTAACAACCGGTCACTATGACGTGCGCTGACTACCGGGGGCGCATATGGAACATGGTGGGCGTCGGCTGTGGCGGGATGGTGGAGCAGGTGAGTGGGGGGTGCCAGACCAAGGCGGGATGCTAGTTGCTGTCATCGGGACGAGCCTCTGGTGGTTACTGAAAATTCTTTGCTCCCGCGTGCCGTGGTCCCACCCGGCGCTTGCACCTGCTGCCGGCATTGGCCCCGCTCACACCTGCTGCCAGCACCGGAGCCGCCATTCGCACCCTCTGCCAGCGCTTGTCCTGCTCACACCTGCTGCCGGTGCCCAGCACTGGTCCTGATCACTCAGCGCCATTAGCAGGTGCAAGTGGCAGTTGCCAGCCCCTATTGCCCCTGAAGGCTTCTACACCTCCCCCTGCTCCTGAGGAGTGATCGGGGCAGCAGCTGCCGTTCGTACCCACTGCTGGCGCCAGCCCCAATTGCTCCACGCCATGGCGAGAGGGACCAGGTGGGGCGCGGAGGGGGGGCCGAGACCCGCCCCTGTGTCCACTGCAGCCTCGCAGCCCACAGTTCCTTTCAAAGTGCATAATTTGTGTACTGGGCCCTTAGTTTATATATATCAACCAAAAATGTGTGAGTTTGATAAGGTGGATCTGAGTGAGGTAGGGTTTATATGGTTGCCAAGCATAGGCTGTCAGAACCTGAGAAGGGTGAAGAGGACATCCTATAGGGCAGATGGCCCAGGTTGGGGTAGGCATGCAATACACACACAGGAAGTCCATGTGGGGTGTCAAAGCCTGAGCAGTATGAGGAGGGCATCCGTGCAGTGGGAAGGGAAGAGCAGGGGCCTGGCATCAAGTCAGAACCTGTTTAGGGTAAAGGAAGACATCAATGCTGAGGGACCACGGTGGTATCACAGGACTCAGAGCCTGAGCAGGGTGAGGGAGCCCATGTGAGAAGGATGAGGGTAGCAGCCTGTCACAGTAGTGACGAAGGCATTCACACAGCAGGGTAGCCTGGTATAAGGTGCAAAATGACCGAGCCCAAGCCAGGTGCAGAGGGTGTGGGGTGTGGGGCAGTTGCAGCATTGGGGGACAAATCAAACACGTTGAAGATAATGGGAGTTAGGTTTCTCAGAGAAGGAAATGATAAACATGAAAAGGGAGAAAGTCAGAATGAACCCTGTGGAATCTAATTGATACGAATTCATGGTTTTCCATTACATATGGATACATATTTAATGTAATAGAAATTATATATTTAAATATCAATTTAAATGTTTTAATGTCTAAATTATAAACAACTTTTATAAATAAGATTAATTTGGTAATAGGAATTACGTATTTACATACAAATATTTAATCTTGTAAGACTTTAGCTGTCAACATGTGTCCGTGTGTGTGTGTGTGTGTGTGTGTGTGTGTGTATACTTCCTAGCTCTCTTTTGGGAGTATTAACATCCTAATTGCAATGAGCACATCTATCACCCAAATCTTGAGTTTCTAAATGCCATTCGCTACTAAAAAGAACCAAGTCTTTAAAGAAATGGCTGATTCCAGGGCTGGGGCAGGGAAAGCACAGAAGAGCCGGGAACATCTGTACCAGAGGAATGAAGACATGCTCAAATGATGGGGTCATGTCAAAGGGACAAAGAGCCAGCTCAACAGCCAAGTCTGGGATGTTTTCAGCATCCAAATATGAGGATGGATTATAACCCAAACACAATAGGTAACCATGAGTTCATACTGAGAAAAAAGGAGAAAATCGCAAGTTTAGTGAGAAAGCATTTCCCCACAAATTAGAGAAAAAGAGTAGTTTAGTACTCACTACCTTAATCAGCTAACGAAGATTAACATGACCCAGTGGGACAATCAAAGCCGTGTATAAGCTGATAAAACACGAGAGCCGAGCATGGCTCCCGTGCTGTTTTCCGTCAGCCTGCGGCTGCACCTGGG